GTCCTTTATTAGCAATGAATGGAGTCTTAAATTAATAACTGCCATTTGGGGTCATGGTAGTGGAGGAATTGTAATGCCATTTGTTGTCACTTAAGCTCAGTGCCTCATGTGTTTGTCCATTTAGCCAAGAAGGCATCATTACACCACTTGGCTGTTCCTGTTCATGTGGAGTTTGTGTTGTCTCAGCTTGCATTTCAGTCCATCTCGTGTCTCGGGAGCTGGAGGCGTGTGACAGGTGAGTGCTCTTCCGGAGGCATCCCTCTTTTCATTGTGTTAACAGAATTCCACCCGTGGAAGGGTTTAGTCTCCACTTGTCTAAGTGTTTTCTGATGAAGAGGAGRGCCTCAGCGTGTCCTCACCAGCCACCTTGGCCTCGCAGGCTCCCGAGTGCAGCGATCCAAGCAGTTGAAAAGCCCTTTGTCCCAGGCTTCCAGCCACACAGCCTCACACACTCAKCAGTGTGATGCCAGTGAGGCCTTTGGGACCTGTGCTTGTGTCTGTCTAACCCAATTATGCATCCAGCCCAGAAGCTTGGGGTGTGTGACCTGTGTTGGTCCTGGGTACGGGAATGTCCCTGCTGTCCCCTGTTTTGGTGGGGCTGCTCTCTGACAGCCGCGTGCTGCCAGCAGAGTTCTGTGACTCAAAGCACAAAGACCTCTCCTTGCTTTTCTGGTGGTCACTTACCTGCTCTTGTGAGACTTGCCTGGCTTTTGTAGGGCTGCCAGCGTACAGGACTGTGAGTCTGTGAGGTTACAGCTGTTGGTCCTGGCTCTAGTGAAAAGCAGAGGCTGGAAATCAGAGTGGGGGGATTTGAACCAGAAAGCAACATTTCACCCAGCTGTCTCTGCATCCCCGGCTCCTTGGCTCTCAGCATGGGAGTGGCCGGACCGGGATCCCTGCGTGTGTAACGTGGATGTGATGKGGGATATATCAATGGACAGTCACAGCTACGTGGATGTGAGCAGGGGGTGCTGTGCTGCAGGAGCAGGGCTCAGTCTCTGCCAGCCTGCCGGGACGAGCTCCGCAGGAGAGGACACAGCTTTCCTGCCTGCTTYTGAGTTCCTTTCCCGTCCCTGGCGAGCTCAGGGCTCCCTGTAGTTCCCCCGCGTGGCGCAGAGCGGTGCCCCTGGCAAGTGCTGCAGCGCGCTGTGCCTCGTGGGCTGAAACCAGGCAATTAAATAGTGGCTAAAAAAAGATACACAGACATAAGCTGTGTGCCATTTTTAGTGGCTTTCAGCGACGATTAACTCCTTAGGCAACAGCTGTATGAAACAGSCTGCCCAGCTCTTCCCAGCCTGTCCCTCTGGTGAAACCCCAGGCCTGCTGGGGCTGGGGCTGTGGCTGCCCACAGTGGAGCAGCAAAACCTGCGGGGTGCAGCTCTTGCCTGGCTTCTCTGGTGCATGGGRCTGTACGGGCACAAAGCTGCTGGGCAATGTCTGCAGGCTCGTGTGGGTCTGCAGAGCTTACACCAGCAATGGGCTCCAGCTTACAGCTAAAGCTACTGAGCACTGCARAGATGTAAAACTCTATGCCTCTGAGGTGGCACTGGATTGGGAAAATGGACTTTGGATCCCTGGGCTTCAGGATCCAGTGATCTGTGATCGTTATTGGACAAAAAATGTAAAATAACCCCAGTGTTAATGCCAATCATCTTTAAAAAAGAGGCCAGAGTTTGTTTTTTAAATTGTGCTGGACCCAATCTACATWAAAAAACCAAAAGAGAGACTGAATGCATGACATAAGCTCGCTGGTTTATAGAATAGCACAATGTTTTCAGCCCATGGGGATAGGATGACTGATGACCCCCGCCCTTCCCCTGGACCTTACGCAGTGTGAAAATACGATCAAGACTTGTTTGATTTGTAACTCCTTGACTGTTCTGTTTAACAAGAAGCCCATTAGCAGGACAGTCAGAGCTTTACAGGTGCTTTTAGGACATTACACCACTGTCCACTGAAGGCTGTTGWGGAGGCGTGTGCCACAGTAGCCTCCATTTCAGTGCCCGGCCAGGATTTCCTGCAGCAGTGAGAGGAGAAGGGTGGGTCTGTCCTGGAGCTGAGTGAGTAGTTTGGCAGAAGCAACTGTGGAAGCTGCTGCCAGCTCTTGCGCCACTCGTCCCTTGCTGCCTTCGCAGTCCCCTGTGTGCCAGAGCTCCTTGCAGGAGCTGCACAAGCTGCTCTTGGCAGAGGGACAGGTGCTCCTCTTTGTCCCCTTCTTCTGCTTTCYCGGGCCTGGACCCCCATTCTCTGTGTAAGGAAAAGAGTCTCAGACCCTGCTGCTTCCTGCACTGCACCCTGGCCTGCCATGACACACACYCCAGCACCTCAAAGCCCAGGCCTGTGGCTATGCTTGCCTTCTGGCACCAAGTCAACTGCTAAGCACGTGCTGGCCTTTCTCTTCCAAGGAGCAGCAGTGTCACGCCAATCCCTCTGCTCTCTCCTGCTTCCCTCTGGCACACCCTGTCCTCTGCACAGCTGACGGCTTGCCAGCTGTACACTTTTATTCACAAAACATGTTCCAGCCTAAGGTGTCCTAAAACAGCAGTAAAATTTTTGAAGGGATCCTGGAATTCCTTGCAGAGTTTTCTTTCTYCTGAAGGGAAAACCTCAGTAGAGACAAGGTGTCTGGTTTCTTTTGGTATCCGGTGGAGGCTGGAGCTGTTTGTGTAAACAGCAGCTAAAGGTGCCTCTTCCTGCAGAAGCCGCTTGTTGCTTGGCACAGGTGAAGCTGTGCTGTCCTTGGCCGTGAGCCCTTGGCCCCCACGGCCCCCCGTGTCCCCATGGGGGCACAGCTCTTACTTAGACAGCCTTGTCCCTGCTTAAGCCTATTTGGTTTTAAAAAATGGCTCAAGCAGACTTGCAGCTYCTGACTGCTTTTGCAAAGCTTTAAATTTGCTTCCTCAGCTTTTGAATGTCCATGGCAAAAGAATCTCACCCCACAAATGTTTTGTGGCTCTGACATGTGGGGCAATCAACTTGAATCGGGAGGCTTAGCCTTCAAGAAGAAATTTTAATAAATGGCTCCCACCAGGCAAGCTGAACTGAYGGCAGCCACAGTGGGAATTGTTACTACTGTGCTCCAGTGTAGACAAGGCCTCATTGTCTGGCTTTGATGGAGAAAATGTCCAGTTTTGCAAAGTTTGCTGAGCAAGGGAGAAAATAATTATATTGCAGATCAGCTWACAAGGGGCACATTCATGTTTGAAAGAAAACTTGATTTTCATAGGGTGAGGAAGAAAAGCGCAACAGCCAAAGGAAAAAGCCAGCAGCATTGGTGACCTACTAAAATTGCCTCAAGTCAGAAGTTATTCCTGGCTGAAGGTGAGTCCCAGGGGACCGGATCCTTGACTCTGGCTGAGATACGGCAGTGCAAGTGGGAAGTGTGCAGGAAACCAAGCAGCCCTCTGCCTCTGAAGCCGCTCTGTGCGGACGTGGCAGAGAGCAGAGCCCTKGTGTGGCTGGGCACAGAGCTGTCACTGCAGCTGTGTCACGCTCAGGCCCCAGTGCTCCTGTGTCTCCAAGCTCTCCCACGGGCATTTGCTGGGACAGAAGCCATGGGAGCAGAGYCCCACGTCCCCATCCTCTGCCGCCTCAGGAGCCCACAGGGCCTTCGGGCAGGCCAGCGCTGTGTGTCCTCCATGGGTCACACAGCCCTGCCACTGCCCCTGGGTGTGTGACAGACCACAGCAGTGCCGCTGCCTCAAACCTGCCAACTCCCAGTTTTCAGCTCCCAGTTACCACAGCTGAGATTTTATTTGCAGTATTTGAGCAAAACACTGGAAGTGTATCGCTTCACATGCTTTTATTTAGGAAGACCACAGGGCAGATGGTGAAGTAATATGCTTTACAACGCTGGCCTGCTGACTGGCTGCCTCCCGCTGGCACGGAGAGTATTTGCTGAAGCCATTCTGGTTGTCTCCCCAAGGGGGAGGATGTAATTATCTTCTTTTTGCAAGATTGCATGTAATTTTCTCTTCACTATCTTAAAAAAAAAAAAAGAAATTGAAAGAGAAGCAGAAATGAACTGTGCAACAAGCTGATAACCCATTAATTCTTTCATTAGATTGAAAGCAAAGCTCGAATGAATCTAGGGCTGTAAATCTTGAGGGTTTTGTGAGCATTTCTCTCAAGGAAGTACACATTCTTCTCTTTGCWGGAAGCTGCAACACCAGCAGAAACCCAGTTTGTTGTCATGGCAATGTCAGTAGTTGCCTTCTCTGTAAGCCAAATCATAGGCACTCGTAGGATCATAGGAAAATTCACATAGGAAAGGCCCTTTGGAGATCTGCAGTCCAAACTCCTGTCCATGGCAGGGGCAGTCATGAGATCAAGCCAGTCATCTGGCAGGTCTTTCTTCATCCAGGACTTAAAAACCTTGAGGGATGGAGATACTGCTTTGTTCCTGGGCAACATTTCCAGGCTATTSCTACCAGCCTTCAAGCCTTCTTAATGCCAGTTATTCTTAGAATAATAMTTGGGTTTGCTGTGACTTTGGTGTTTAGTCACTGTTTTCTATAGCCAGTGAGATCTGGCTATACTTTTGTATTTCCCTCTCAGCCAGTCATCTTGCCAGATGACTAATGGACTGTGTTTTCTYGTATTTGACATTTGTTTTCTGCCCACATTGGCACTGCTTAAGGAAAGCATCCCTAGTCAGACCTGTATTTGCACATTAGCAATGGGAACAAATGCATCCATCCATACAAGTTCAATTAGTGCTTGAGTGCTCTTCAGATAGACTTAGAAACACGCAAATGTTGCCTTTAATCCCAGTCCCCATTTGTTGTTATCTGTGTAAAGTGTGCTGGACTAAAGAAAGGAGAGAACGTGTTTGTGTTTCTCCTTGTCCTGAAGGGCACTCTCTTGCCAGCTCTCTTTTAACAGGATTGTTTCATGAGTTTTGTGTTTCACTCTCCTCCTGCTGGTGTCGTATTTACTGTACCACGTCCTGTCCAAGCATCACCGAAACTGCGGGAAAATGAAAACTCTCTAACACTATATTTGGAGTGATAGAGAATCAGGCATTACTTTATTTACTGGCCAGGATGTTGTTCTGGCCAGGAAGTGCCACAGAAATCATTTCATCCACACATAGCCCGGGTGTGCGGAGAAAATCATTCTAGGACACATAAATTTTACAGGATTTTCCCCAAACTTAATACAGTCAAAACCCATAGAACTCTATTGGTTTAATGTTCATTGGTCCAACAYTGTGCAKGTCTCAGTATTTGGGTTCCTACTGGATCTGGATTTCTTYGYCCCTGATGCTAATTAGGTGCTCCTTCTTATCTTTCTTTTCCTAGACCAGGTGTTCTGACCACACTAGGGGTGATGTTCCGTTGATAGCCCRTTTTGATGGTCCTTATCTTCTGTGCCACTCCCGCATCTGTTGAGATATTAACTTCATCAGGCCTTACTGGGTGAAGCAATCCCCTGGAAAGAAACCTTCCCCCAGGGCAAAGGCAAACAGGATCTCTGACTGAAGTTATATATTTTTTTTTCAAAYTGGTATAATTTCCAACACAAGGACCAACTGCTGTCCAAGGTTTGTCTTGTTTAATTGAATTATGGTTGCCATGGGGAGCRAAAAGGTCAGATTTCATTCTGCATCGTGAATTTTGCAAGACAAGGTATGTTACAGAAGAAGGGGGAAACCTGAATCTCAAAGTCTGTGTCAAGGAGCAAGAAGTTGAATGGAAGGGATTTTAAAACGGGCTTATAGTAATTTGTTACCCTACTTCACAAGGAAATTAGGTTTAAGTTGGGTACAAAATGYAGGCTTATTGGAAAACCCCCGTTGCACAACCAAGTGCCACAGCTCTTGTGCCTATCTCCTTGTYGTCTCCCTGCTTGCTGGACAATCTCCCCTGGGACTGAGTTGTGCTTTGCCTCTGACACCTTCCAAAGCCTTCTCAGAGAGTCTCTCTCAAGAACAAGCACAAGCAAAGGGACTGACATGTGGTTTGCATTTGATTCCCTGTGCCTTTCTCCAGCACCTCTGAGGTGAGAGGATGGAGCTTGGTGCTCAGGGATGCCACAGTGCAAAGCYTTCTTCTACAGGCTCTGTAACAGCCGCTGTGGGCCTTGGTACTGACCTCTGTGCCAACCTGTGCCATATGGACCCTGACAAYCCTGCCTGCAGGAGTGGGACATAGAGATGAGCACCCCAGTGGGAAGCAGCAGAACATCTCTGTGGGAGGGTCTGGAACACAACAGGAAGTTTTGGAAGAAGCTCTTTTGCAAGGTTTTGTTTATGTTTWCTTTTGTCTTTTAAGGATGTGAAAGGCAAAAAGTAGTGCAAGTAAACAGAACATTCATGAGATGTCCCGCTCCCAGCAGGATTTCATGAGAAGAGATGGGGGAAGTGGAGGCAAAAAGCAGTGCCTGAAACCCGTCCAGCTGAATATTGCTCAACAACATGAGAGATTGAGTGGGGTAACTTGCATGCTCTGTTGCATTTGACTTTTGAGCATTCACACTTCAGACCTCATGGAGARGGCAGGGTTGTGACACGAGAAGAAATTTAGAACATCATCAGCATACTAAGCATGATGGTGGGAGACAAAGGGAGCAGCTGCAAGAACTGATACAAACGGATGGATTTCATGGCTTACAATATAATGCTTTGACATCACTTGCTATCAGAGGGACTTTCATATTCACTTGCTCACTTACAGTTTTGCTCCATTTTTTAAGTTTTGCTAACAGTAGTAATAATAAAAGGCATCAGTGGAGGCCGTACAGCACAGTCAAGCTGTAAGACCTGTCATAGCATCTTTTTCTCCAGGAAAAACCCAAAGCTGCCCAAGTTCTGGTTTACACTGTCAGCTTACCAAGGAGCACCAAGGGCAAGACTAGCTCCAGCCAGGCCACTGCCWGCTTTGGGCTTGCAGAAGATATTCATGCTGCATTGTTCTTATTAATTACAGCTCTCTGGAAACATAAGGCATGGGATGGAGGAAAATGACACAAACAGGCTTATTTAGGTCAATTACAAAAGTACGGGCTAATTGCAAACAAAGTGGTAAAACAGGAGCAGTTCAGGCTCAGAGGAAAACAATGTGGACAGTGACCTACATACTCTTGGGGAGTGGGGGGAGGTTAGACAGCAGGCCATTGGGCACACCAGCTGAGCAGAAAGCATGAAAAAAAGACAACAAAGACAGGTCCTCCTTCTGGTGGAAATTTAATAGGGTTGTAACATCATTTATCTCCCTCCACAAGCTGGCTAAGGCATGAATGTGTGGGCAGCCCACAGCTAGTGGGGATAGTTGTACTAGTGGGGATAGTTGTGCTAGTAGGGATAGTTGTACTAGTGGAGAGGCTGGAACAGAAAACTGGGGCTGTGGCCTTGCTCTTGGGAGCCACTGGCCCCTGCAGTGTCCTGCCAGGATTGTCTGCCCCTGCAGCACGCAGGCACTGGTGAGGCTCTCCTGAGCACCATTCACCACATGTGGGAAGCCCAGCAGCCATTCCTCCAGGCTTCAGTCAGCTGACACAGATTCTTTTTAATCAATCATATCTGCCACACCACAGCAGGCTTGGAGGCACACCTCACTGCACACCGGATGCACACGTGCCTTGGGCACCAGGTGAGTCACAACAAGGCCTTGCTCTGACAGCTGAATGAACACTCGTGYGCACTTCACTAATTATGTTCAAAATAGTTTTAATTGAGGGCAGGAGTTTTGTTTATCCCTTGAAATACAGGAGTGAGACATAAGCAGATTAATTCACCTGTTGCAAGAGCAGAGTCAAAATTTAAATGGATTTGTAGTTTTTTCTTTACTTTAGGGAACATTCTTCTAATACAGAAAAAAATRAGTGTAGCTGTGCCTTGGATTTCCAAATACATCTGTGCACCATTTGTCTTACAGAAACTATCCATCTTTAGTGGATACAAGGCTTTTCTATGCAGTAACTTTCTATCTTCAGCTGGACTGTCTATGCTACACATTTTGTTTGTACTCCCCATGGTTTCCCTTTATCAGCACAATTTCTTGGCAACCAGCTGAATGGCATTCATGCATGTATATTTTTCTTTTTTTAAAGCACAGCTGGGATCTGCGATATAAGCATATTCTCCCTGGATGCATTATGAACCATAGATGTCTACATGACTTTTCCATGGGAACTCATGAAGAAAAGATCCTGTGTAACTGCTGGCTGGAATCTAAACATTTCAAGTCAGGTACSAGGAGCCTGATAAAAAGACCTAAGCTACAGTTGGAAACAATTTCCAGAAACTCATTCTGCTTATCCCTTGTAGCTGTGGCAATAAATGAGAGAAAGGAAGGGACAAAGCTCACTGCCGGAAAACAAGTCAACAAAAGCAACTAGCTCTGGGTTTCATTACGTAACACACTTTACAYTGAGCTTTAGAGGCCTCTGTGTGTCAAGAAAAGAATTCTCATCACATTTTGCCAGGGCAAATTCATATCTAATTAAGAGGTTAATAATGAAATTATTATTAAGCTCAGTCATTGTCATAGCTGGAGAAAAGTTAAATGTAACTTGCCCTCTGCAATGCTGCCTGGTAGCTTCTCTTTTCTTCTCTTTTCTTCTCTTACTCTCCACCTGTCTAGTTTCTCATATAGTTATTTTTATTCTGCACTAGACCAAAGCTGTTTCTCTTTCCTCCTCCACCCTCTCTCCACATCTGAATGCCTGCTGTTCACTCTTCTAACAAGAAGTCCACAGAAGGAAGAAGGCATAATGACCCTGCTGAATCAACATCCTGTGAGGCTGGAATGATAGTCATTATCCTGACGGGAAAGCAGTGTTATGGTCCTTTGGAGGTTGGAGAGCAGGCAGCTCTTACAGAAGAAGACCAAATTCTCTTCTTCCACAGTTTCAAAGCTTGTGGGAAAAATGTGTTCTTTGCTCTTCACTTGGCCTGAAAGCTGCTCAGGAACACAGCAGTGAGGATGTGGAGCAAAATATCTGTCCCCACTATTTTTGCAGGCACATGTGAAGCAAGGTCAACACATGCTCTAAGCTGTGTGGGAGTTATGAATCTGCACGAGTGTGATGCTGATCCCTGACTAACTCACCTGGTCGCTGAGCTGGCCTCAGTTCCTCCTACTGGCTGCCACAGCTTCCAGTTTGGACCTCCCTCTAGTACCAGGAAAGTGGGTCAGCTCCAGCACAKCAGTGTCTGAAAAAATGAAATCCTCTCTCAGATCTGTTCCTCTGACTAAGAAAACAATTTAAAAATGGCAAAACCCCAAGTTGATCAAGCTACCAGCCAGGGGCATGGCTGTGGTGTGGTATCAGCACATCAGGGTTTCAGAGGCACAGAGCACCTTGCAGCCCCAATCACACAGGGAGCTTGAGAAGTGCTCAATAGATCCAGTCATGGGACTACATCTGCCCTCAGCGTGTCAGCTTGGCTGGCTGGAGACTCACCTCATGCTCCCTGCCAGGCCACAGGTAGTGAGAAAAGCTTTGTAAGAAGAACAAGTTCAAGCAAAGGTTTCATATCACACTGAGAGGACTCATGTAGCACTTCAGCGCTGTTGCTTTGTGACTTCTTTTATGTGCCCTTTTTTATCATCATATTTTTAGCTGTGAAAATAATTTTGTATAAAATCACTTCAAAATATTCCTTTTACTTGGAGCCCTAGAGGATTACAGAACTATTGCAAAATGCTATTTCTTAGACAAGCACAGAGGATTTCTGCAACAGAGAAAAACATTTTCAGATACTTCATTACCTAATGCTTAAAAATATGGCATTTAATTTGTTGAGACATCTGTTCTTTCATTATTTAAGGCACCCTTCAGAAGACATCTTTAGGAACACGTAAATTCAAGACCAAATGCTGGAAACACCAAAGATAAATGACATAATTTATTCATGGTACATTATCCTTTCTGTCAAGGAAGAATTCATAGAGTGCTTCTAGAGTGAAGCTGAAAGTCCTGATTCTTTTAGTTATCATTAACTGATCCCAGTCAAGGCACTGCCCTGGGGACATGGGCCCCCCAGGAACATACTGTAAAAATTCAAGCCTTGTTCAGAAATGAAGGCAATCTGTGGCAATAGTGAGGAGGCAATAGTGGCACAACAAAAGAAACAGCAGCAATCTTAGGGGTGGGTGAGMACAGAATGAAGCACATTCTCCTGCACAAGCCACACACATACCTTTAATGAGCTTCGACACAATGACTGGCCTGCAGATTACCAGCTTGACTGCTGCTGTGGGAGAGCTTATTTTGGACACSGTGGGCAAGAGCAACATCAGGAGGCTTGTCATGGTGAAGCAATTGCTTCTAGACATGCTACTGGATGAAAAGCAGCTTCTCCATTTCAAGTGGTTTGGTGCTTGTTGGAGGATAGGGCTGGAGAACAGAAGCCATGCAGACAGCATCATCTACTCTGGTTTCACCCCAGCTAAAGCTCCAGAAGTTGTAAAGTCAGTGCAAGGGTTTTGTACTAACCTTTCATAAATTTGATATTACAATTGGAAAAYTGTATCCCTCTAACAATGAAACAGGTGTGTGGTAAGATTTGTACTGCAATCTGTATAGGAAGCTGGTGTTTCCTGCTTGTTTCCCTTTTGTGTTATTGAGATCAAAGGAAAAAAGAGCAAGTGTTTTTATTAATGGAACTATAGAAAAGTTTCTTTAAAAATCACTGGCAAGATCTTGCTCTTTAGGACAAACTGAAGAAACTGTGACATTTCATGCTGCTTCAAATACAACTAGAAAAGTAGTATGCTTTAATCTGACAATCAGAAACATCCGTTCCCTGTCCCAGTTCCTTTTCAGTGAGTTTAGAAGTCCAGTGATGTTTCAGAGTTAGCCTGTCTCTTCAGTCGCTTCACAGACACAAAGAATTGTAATCACAAATCACATTATGCTGTGCTCAGCTTCCAACAAAARAGGAACAATTCTAGTTGCATTTAAACAGTGTCTCCCAAGCATACATCTCAGCTGTCCCTTGTTTTCAAAGACATCCCTCAGTCCTTTCTCAAATGTATGCATGTTTCTCYCAAATGTGATGACTCTGATGTTTTAGTGTKGAACAGCAGAAATTTAAGAACTATYGACTATATTTTTTTCCCTTGTGCAGTGCCAGGTCCGAGTCCTGTACAGGCTGGTGCACATTTCAAACTTTGTATCCATTGTGAGTAGTTCCACTCACTAGGATAAAACTAAGCACATATGTAAATCTTCATAAAAGAGGGATTTTATTTTTGCTGCAGCAGCAGGTCTGGTTTCCTTCATGAGTTTCTCCTTGCCCTTAGAAAAAAAGGCACTGTTATTGAGCAATAGCACAAGARAGTTGGTAGGAATGGACAATATTCACATTTTCTAAAAAGAATCCTTTTCTTATGTGCCACCTCTTGGGCTGCAGACCATGTCTGGGGCTGAAAGCTAAGACATCACTTAAAAAGCTAAGGAATCGCTTAAATGATCCCATGATTCTATATATACACTCTTAGCTCCAGGGACTTAAATTAATTTTATTTTAAAAATGGTTGCAACATCACCAACTCTTGCAATTTTATTGTAAATCTCACAAAATTTGATATCTTTCAGAAAGCCATAGTTCCCAGAACCTTGTGACATTTTGATGCAGCAATAAGCACWGATTTCTTTATGGCATGTGTATCAAAACAAAAGCTATCAAAGGTTAGACACTGACATTTTAAATTCACTTCCTGCAGGTTATTGTGACAWGACTGGAGCTGATAGAGGTTAGAAGGATGTCCTGTTATCCCTCTGGGTGTTTTCATCAATACATGCAGGTTTCTGACCAGACAACCCTTAAGATCTTAGTTCTGCAAACCCTCGTGCCTGCTCAGAATTCCACTTGGAATGCAAACAACCTTTYCCTGAAATTCAGGTGGTGGAGGTTCACACAGTCACGAGCTGTGATAGTGGCAGTGTGCTGCCCACAGTGGGGGAGATCATAACCCATGTGGATCATCTGCCTGAACTTCAGCAAATTGTCATGGACTGTATTTTTGGAAGGATCRTCTCCAATTGCTACAAATACTCTGGGTTTGAATTAATCACAGAAGACAGGGCGGTCACCAAAGACAGGAAAGGGAGCAGTCACCCACTGTAGGCAGTAGGGACCCAGAAAGATAGTCCAAGGATATAGGATAAATTGCAATAAATGGCAGGGCATGTTAAACAAGAGGGAGCTAGCAGGACTTTTCCATGCTATGAAAGATTGGTTTCCTTTCCCATCTTTAGGGCTGTGGGCTGACTAGTGTGGACACACACAGTCTTTGAACTGAGAGAGAGAACTGCATCCTAAATGTGTGCCCTCTGACAGCAATTCAGGTTTGCTGGCTTGTGAAATCTGCCTCCCTGCCTCCTCTTATGTGGTTAGTAGCTGCCATGGCATGGTAGGGCAGCTATCTCTCTTCCCACTTTGGAAGCACAGGAATGAGCACAGTGGCTTCYGAACTCTTCCATGGGGAGCAGATATTAGACAGCTCCAGGGCAAAACCTTCTTGCTGGCCTGATGTTTAGCYGTTTGTAGGCTCTCACCTGATATGAGCCAGCACACAAATGTTCACATTTCTGACTCCATGGACATCTTGATGKGCCAGTGGGCTGCCAGACTCCTAGCAAAAACTTTGAAAAGCTGAGAGAAGGAGCTGCAGGACTTTGTCATGGGTGGGAACCTATGCAGTGGGGCCCTACCATGCCACTGTGTGGCTGTGGATTCCTGTGGCCATCCAGGGACACCCAGCTCAGCTGTTTATGGCTTGCCAGCAGCTTCCACGCCACCTCTGTGAACATCGTAGCTCCAGTAAAAGATCCACACACCAGATACGAACTGATGGCCGTCCCACACTATGGGGGCTGGCATCTTCTGTCCCCTCTCCCACCCCAGAGCAGCAGGGTCACACAGTCCATGATGCCCTCCCCTGGTAGTTCCCCAGAGGRCTCCTGTCACAGCACAGGCAGGATGTGGTGACAAGCCAGGAATGGTCAGGCAGGTGTGTAGGGCAGACAGGCCACTGTGACACCCCCAGTGACAGCAACACTGCCAGGCACGGTGTGACCACATACCCTGAAGGGGATGGAAACACCCAAGACCTGTCTAAAGAAACAACAAAAGCCAGAGAGTCTACAAACAGCGCGGTTGAATTGTAGACACCCTAATTTGCACCAACAATTCAACCCATTTGAGAGACCATGATGGGTTAAATGACACCTGTTGTTGTCCTACCTTTTGTATTATAAATGGGCCAATTTCCCAAATTTGTGCAGTGTCCAAGGGATGSTCCGTATTAGCTTAGCTGGAGGTGGTTGTGTGAGTGCAAGTGTAGTTTGGTTATTTTTGGGAACTACTATATTAAGTTTGGACGTTTAGCCAACCCACGTTCCATTTTGCCAGAGACACACCACAGTAACAAATTCAACCAGGGTAAAGATGGACAGGGTGACAGGGCACTGTGGAGGCAGGGGGAGGAACCGTGGGCCCTGAGGGGCGCTGGGCACGGCAGGACGGGTCTCTAACGCGCCTCTGACCTTACCCCGGGTCTCACTTGGCTCTCGTGGGGACACGCGCCCTGAGGTCCCCCATTGGAGCGCGGCGGAGCTCGACAGCACCGGCACTGCCTTCCCGCACACCGC